AGCTGCACCCCTTCGCCACCCGGCCCCACCTCAGCGCGGGCAGCCGCGGCCCTTTGCCATCCTCCGCTTGCCGCCGCTGCCGTGGGGCTCTCCACCACCCTGCCCCACCGGTGGCGCCTTCCTCGGCTTGGGCAGCTGTGCCCCTTCACCTCCCGGCCCCACCTCGGCCCGGGCAGCTGCGGCCCTTTGCCGTCCTCCTGCTGCCGCGGGGCTCTCTACCACCTGGCCCCACCTGGGCCTGGGCGGCTGCGGGCCTTCACTGTCCTGCCGCTGCTGCCGTGGGGCTCTCCACCGCCTGGCCCGACCTCGGCCCCATTGGTGGTGCATGGCCAGGGGGGAAGACAGCTTCGGAGGGAGGCAGCCACGTAGCCAGAAGCCGGCGGTCCCAGTCCGTCCCTCTTTCCCCGGCCGCAGGAGAAGGGGAGGCGCAGGCTCTCCACTCGATTGGGCAAACGTCCGCAGCCCAGTTTCGCACCCCGACGACCAGCTGGACCGGCTTTCGCTGCTTTTTTGCAAATGAACGCAAAAAGTTTCGGGGTTTTGCTCACCTGCCCGCCCAGGTGGAGAGCCTGCGCTTCCCCTTCTCCTGCGGCCGGGGAAAGAGGGCCGGCCCCGAGCCTGTCCTGGAGGACTTTTTAGGCCCTGGATACCCCCCACCCCCTCAGCCCAGGGCCAGGCACTGCAGCTCCGCAGCAGGAGGGAACCCTCCGGACCTTCAGTTTTCCCGGCTTGCCAATGAGGCTTGCAAACTCGGCTCGTCAGGGAAGCTCCTTCCCCAGAGCCCATCCCAAAAGGTGCTGCTTCCCTGGCAGGAGCCGAGTTTGCAAGCCTCGTTGGCAAGCCGAGAAAACCGAAGGTCCGGAGGGTTCCTGGGCTGATGGTCAAGGCGGGTGGGGGGTATCCGGGGCCTAAAAAGTCCTCCAGGACAGGCTCTGTTGAAGCAGAATTCAAATCACAGGCATTGAGGAGTTTTAAATATTCAAACCAAGAAATCAGACTCCGTGAAATCAGCGAGACTTCCCCCGCGTGGTATGCATAACGTTGCCCCTCAACCCTCACTGAAATCACTGAGAAAATGAGGGAGTCCGTCGTTGGCAACATTACAAGCCGATGCTGAGGCTTCAAGTCAGTTGCGCCTGTTTAAACCACACATAACTGCCGCCCAAGATCAACTCCTTAAGAAGCTGAGAATTCTCCTAAAAATCAGTTAAATTTAAAACATTTAAAACCGATAACTAAGCCCCCTAAGCATTCTATGGGTGGGAGGATCCCTCGCGCTCGGCTGTTAACCGACTCTTTTGTAGGAGGGGTCACGCAGGGACCGTTGATTGGGTGAAGCGAGCGAGGGCGATTCCATGGGAGAGAAGAGTCGGGGCATTATCTCCACGGTTACGGGGGAACACAAATCACAGCGGAGCTTTCATCTCGTGCTGTTGCATTAATTTACCATATTTTTACCTTGCTTTTTGGCCAGTGCACTCAATTTAGAATCAAGCCCCGTTACGTGTGTGCGCATGCGCGCGCATGCGCACATTTTCCGGCTCCCAGGTTTTTTTTTTTGTGAGGGAAACGGGTCCAAGTGGCTCTTTCACCGCTTTAGGTTGCCGACCCCTGGTTTAGACAGATAGCTTCTTAAAATTACATTATGTCATAAGATGCCCTGCCTTGCAAGTAGCACATTGGCAATCATTTTGATTTGCAATGGGAGATATGCCATTACAAAACATGCAAAAGATTCACTTATTGCAGTTAGCCCACTGATTCCTTGATATCTGTTAGTCTGGTTAAAGTTTCTATAAAAAAGTGACATATTTTAAATGAATGCTATTAAGAACTACCTTTTCTACTACTTCTGAGTTCTCCTTCATAGTATAGTTCTCTACATATGCTCTGTAATGAACAAAAGCCTCAACTACTGATTCCAAAACTAAACCAGTGTTTCATGTGGTTGCAAGCAGAAACATCTGTAGAAAAGGTTGTGCCAATATCGAAAGCATCAGATCCTGTGGAAGCCTCTGACTTCAGCAATCTAATACACTCACACTTATAGCTCTAAAAGGGTCAAACAAGCAGTAAAAAATAGCTGTGTATACACAAATAGCACAGAGCAGCGATGGCGAACCTTTTAGAGACTGAGTGCCCAAACTGCAACCCAAAACCTACTTATGTATCATCGGGTGCTGGATGGGTGTGGCCCAGTGGGTGTGGCCCATTGGGTCGGCGTGGCCCATTGGGTGGGCATGGATGTGGTGGTAACGGCAGACTGGGTGGGACTAAAAAGTTCAATCAATTCCAACTTTGCGAGATCTTTTTTCCCCCCACGAGAACTTGAAATTGATTGATTGAACCTTTTTTTTTTTTTTGCATAGGCGGCGGAGGCCTAAAGCGAAAAGTTTTCATAAAACCCAGCTGAAGGCCTAGGACTGGGGCGATGGCACGCGTGCCCACAGAGAGGGCTCTGAGTGCCACCTCTGGCATGCGTACCATAGGTTCACCACCACAGGCACAGAGTATCTTGCAGTGCTAAATGGATTCATTCAGAACAGAGAAACATACTTGAAAATATTTTATTTCAAAATTAGGTACATCCAATACAGAATGGCCATTTTTTAAAATTAGTTATGATTATTCGCTGATGGAAAGAGCTTGCCATGCATGACATGTATTTTTTTTTTATTTATTACACTTTTTAAACCACCCCACTAGCTGAAGCTTTCTGGGCAGTAAAGTATGCTATTTAAAATATAAAGTATACTATAATAAAGTATGCTACAACATTATTTGAATAAAAATACATACAATAAAATCAAATAAAATGCAAACTATAGATAGAAAGCTGCAGGCAGTCATTTGAAACAATATGGACTAAACTATAAGTACAATAAAAGTGAAAACCAATTAACAAGTCTTTGTCAGATGCTGAACGATGCTAATGTGGAATGTGGGAGCGAGTCAAGCTCTCTGGGGAGGAATTGCATTAATGGAGCAACACTACAGAAAAAGCTCTTCCTCTTCCTTCTCACTTCTTTTGGGAAGGGGGTCTGGAAGGTTTCATTAGACAAGCTCAAGTCCGGAAAGGTACCTCTTTGGTCATCTGGTCCTAAACTGTGAGAAGCTTTAAAGATCAATCTGGTCCTAAACTGTGAGGAGCTTTAAAGATCAAGGCCAGAACTTTGAGCTGAGTCAGAAATAGACCAGCAGCAATTGTAAATAGTGAAGAACTAGCATAATATATTTTTATCAGCCAATCCCAATGTGCAATCCAGCTACTCTATTTTGAACTATCTGAAGTTCTTAGACCATTTTCAAAGACGGATTCATTTCCAATACATTGAAATAATCCACTCAGAAGTTACCCAAGGGTGTGAATAACTGTTCTGAGGCTGTATTTGTCCTCGTAAAGTCACAGTTGGTAAACCAACCAAAGGGGAATAAAAAGCACTCTGAGCCACCAAGACCACCTGGACCTCTAATGAAAATAATGGATCTAGGAACAGCCCTAAACTATGAACTTGTTCATTTCAAGCAAGTATAGACCCTTCCAGGACAGCAGGGAACCATTCAAATCCACCACCCACAATCAATATCTTCATCTTGTCTGCACTGAGTCTCAGTATGTTGGTCCTCATCCAGTCCATTACTGTGCTGGAATGTAATCTGGATCTCCAAAGGCTGCTTTCCAGGGGGCAAAGAGGCAGCGGAGCTTGGAAAGTTTGGAAAGCAAAAAGAGGGTTAAAAAGCTACATCCTAGCTATTGCCAGAGTAAATCCATAGTTATAAACTTGCTTTAGTCTGGCAAGTTTCTGTCTATAGGTGAAGAATAAAGGAAATTATTCATAAGTAACACCATGCGCCATACAAATATTCTATAAAATCCTAAGCCTTTTTGAAGTTGATTTCCTTCAGACATATTGGGAAATTGTTTCTATTAGAGAGATGGATGTTACGTCCAGCACGTTTGGAAAAAAATGTAATTTGGAAATAGCAGCTTTGCATTTTACATTATTTCACACAATCATTGGGTGATGAAAGAAAGCTGTTTCTTCCTCATACTCTTCTTCAAGTCAAGTACGCTGTGACACACAAATTCTATAGGGCTTAGGTGTCATAGACAGTCCGTATACTGGCGTTATATCTAGCTGATCTTCAAGAAGTTTCTCCAGTCTCAGCTGCTGCAAGATAGTAGTGAGGATAACGAAGATCTCATTATGAGCTACTTCTTCTCCCAAACATTTTCGGAGCCCCATTCCAAAGATCAGAACTTTTTCAACCAAGTTCTTGTTGAGTTCACCATTTTCATTCAAAAATCTCTGTGGTTTAAATACATCAGGATCTAGCCACAGGTTCCTGGAAGAAATAAACGAGTGTGGAAATGAAAGGGAGAAAACTAAAATATGATAAAAATGAAAAGGGTTCACACAGCCACCAGTATATTTCAATTCATTTCAAAAATTAAATCTACCAGACATCCACATCACTTGACTGTTATCTGAAAAAAACGAAAAGCAGCACCCTCGTAGTTGTCTATCAGGAGGGAAATGATAAAATGTGCAAGACTGTGTCATAATGCTGTGGCTTATGAATTTGTATTGCAACTCAGTTACATAACTGTGGCATCTGTATAATGTCATCTTGTATGTTCATCTATAGTGAATATGAAAAGTCTTGCTAGAAGAACCAAACAGCATTACTACCAAGAAGACACAGGCAAAACTCTAATACCTAAATCCATGCTTCCTAACTTAATGCCTAACACATGAAGCTTGGGGGAAGGGTGGTCTAAATAGCCTCTAAAAATCAACCATCACAGAACTGAATGAGAATGGTCTAGCCACAACTTCAAGGGTCATCTAAAAGCCTTTGAACATGACTTTCTATTTGCAGAGCTTGAGATGTCCAGAGTTTTCCTCCCTACAATTTCTTCTTCATGGGGAAAAGAGACATTGGATCCTGCAGGAAAATAAATGTTTTCAAAAGAATTGCATAAATGAGCTTCAAAAGATGAATGTGTCTCTGTACTCCAATGGGTTACAGAATCAACTGAGCAAATACATTTGGTATGCTTTAAGGTGGGGTGAATTTTGATTTCTGTGAAGAAGCTGTGAGGTTGTGGAGAAAAATATGCATTGCAATTTACTGAGCAACATGGCGAGTGCCATCATCTGAAATTTAACAAATATCTGTACAACCATCCACAGAGGCACCAGATGTATTACCCTTGGGATATGTTATGACTATTATTATCAGAATGTCCATACATGAAGCTCAGGAAGTAGCTAAAAGTGGGTCAATAAGTCCTCATAATTGTTTAAATAAAGTTATTTCCTGCAAGTATAGGATCCTTTTTTCCCCCTCAAAATCAATTAAAGCAGGGGTCTTCAAACTTGGCCCTTTTATGACTTGTGGACTTCAACTCCCAGAATTCCTCAGCCAGGCATGCTGGCTGAGGAATTCTGGGAGTTGAAGTCCACAAGTCATAAGGGCCAAGTTTGAAGACCCCTGAATTAAAGTGTTGATCCCTTTGGTTGCCAAAGGAGTTGGTTGACCAGCCTATTGTCTGAGTCTGATATTGTGGGCTGAGGGTGAATGACTGGGCCAAAGTCATCTAGCCAGTTTTCATGACTATGCAGGATTAGACCTTACAGTCTCCTAGTTTCTAGCCTGGTATTTTCACTGGACCAAACTGGCTCTCAATAGGTTTGTAAGCTACAATAGTAATATAAGAAAAAAACCACAGTAACAAGTCTAATATCATTATTGCTATTATTTATTGTTGTTGTTGTTATTTATTATCATCATTATCTTCTTCTAATACTTACTCATCGTGATTAACTTGATACATATTAACGAAGATACAGGTATTTTGTGGGATATAATACCCATTGAGAACAGTGTCTTTGGTAGTACTAGAAAATATTAAAAACAAAACAGTATTTAATCCTGGATTAGCACAATCCTTTAACATTATTCCACAATGTTTTCAAACACCTGAACAAAGTAACCTTGCATAAATGTAGGAAGATACGTATTTTTCTATTGGAGGTACGGTCTTAACCCTTTCTAGTTTTTTTATCATATTGTAAGTTACCCAGTCTCTGTAACAGTGACATGGATAGCATATAAATGTAAATTAAATAATTAATATTTCATTTTATAAATTGAAATACAAATGGCAGCATCCTTTCTCTCCTTGCCATGGTTATTGCATTCTGTAGAAATTCAATAATAGCAAAAACAGTTCATCTAACATCTCTTTCCCTTTCTTTAACAATACGAAATCTCACATTATAGGGGATTTTTGTGTCAATGCCACACAGAAAATCAAATTACAGTACTACTAGCAGAAGCTGCCTACAATGTAAACAAACCCGTTCCTCAATTCTCCTTCTCACCAGTGAGGAATGGTGAATGGAATAAAAGAGCTGTGCCTGAAGACTTCATTGATGAAAGCTTCTGTATAATGCAAGTCTTTCCGGTCTTCAAACTTTGGAGGCCTTAGCCCAATCTTTCCATCTTCAAAGAAGAAAACAGAATTTATTTAACACAAACTATTTCATAACAGCAGTCTTCGATCTTTATATTACAACGGAACTCAATTTGATGTTCCAGTTGGACAAAGGGGGGCGGCCATTATTCCTATTAAATCTGAGTATGTAATTGTAGTGATTGATCCAAGTTGTATGTTTGCAAATTATATCATTTGCAAATTGAGATCATTACACAAATGGAACTATTATTTGCATCTTTGCACAAACTGAAATTGCTCCAAAAGTTTGCTCGATTGAAGTGGAAATTCATTTAGTGGTAGTCTAGTAAACTAAGGTTTCACAGCATGATATATTCTATTTATTTTAAATAACACAAAAGCGTTACCAATTTCTTCTTGAATTTTCATCTGAATTTCTGGGTTGTTTATCAGGTACAGAAATATCCATTGCAAACACGATGAGAGTGTACCAAAACCTGGAAAAGAAATGAAGCAACGTTAGAACTTAAGTACCTGAAACCTGGGCACTGAAGCTTATAACTGAAATGTACATTGTGTTGGATATGTTTGCTGTCTTGATTTATTTGTAAAAATAATAAAGTGGATACAAATAAATAAAGCAATTAAATAAGTATCTAAAAACCTGGAAGACAGATTCTGTATGTAACTGATGTTCCCAAATCAGAAATCTATTATTTTTGATAGCTCACTTTTGCAGTTTAGCTAACAGTCAATATTTCAACATGGGACTGTGTATTAATAAAAACTGCCTAGAAATCATACAAATAAATGAATACTATCATTCATTCATTCTTGAATTTCCAGGTCTGTCCATGAACTTGGGTGGTACTGCAAAATTAAAACAAGATAATACAAAATGACCATAGCAAAGTAGCAAAACCTACATGGCTCACAATTTCTAGCATCCCACCCTTAACCCAAAGCCTGTAAGAAAGCCTTTTTTAAAAGAGCATTTAAAGATGAACAAGGTGGGAGCCATGGGGATCTTTGCAGGGGATATTATTTCAAAGGGCAGGTCCCTCTGTCTCTCCCGACAATGTCTGTCATCTGTGATCCACTAGTTAACACAACTTAATTGAATGGACCTGCTGCTAATCCACACAATTGGAATAAGCATTGCAGGAAGACATTAGAGGGGACACCTAGTTAATATGCTATGTAGACAGGTCCCTTAAATGATCAGCACCTGTACATTAACAACTCTTGCATTCCTCTGACAAGAATGCTTCTGCATTCCTCTGCAGACCCTTGAAAATTAGGAGCCTTCGGCTCAACTTCTTTCCTACAACCAATACTAATTCAAATCAACCATGGAGAAAGAAGAACACCATAAAACTGTGCCCTCCATTCCCATTCCCTGCAACCTGCCAAGAATGATACCATGTTGTTACATCAAGGAAGACGAAGGTGATAGCACATCAAGTGTAACTAATGCTGTCTTTATGCTGGGTCCCAATCTGAAACCTAACTGAAAAGAATCTAGATAATTCACTTCCTCCAGAAACATCTGTAACCACGAGCCAATCACATTTTGAAGTGAGGCCATGTTCAGTTGCAATCCCAGTACTGTACAAGTAGACCTCGACTTACGACCACAATTGAGCCCAAAATTTATGTTGTTAAGTGAGACATTTGTTACGTGAGTTTTGCCCCATTTTATGACCTTTCTAGCCACAGTTGTTAAGTGAATCATTGCAGTTGTTAAGTTAGTAACATGGCTGTTAAGTGAATCTGGCTTCCCCATTGACTTGGCTTGTCAGAAGTTCACAAAAAGTGATCACATGACCCCAGGACACTGCAGCCATCATAAATATGAACCAGTTGCCAAGTATCTGAATTTTGATCATGTGACCATGGGGATGCTCCAAGTATCGTAAGTGTGAACAATGGTCATAAGTCACTTTTTCAGTGCCGCTGTAACTTTGAACGGTCACTAAATGAACTGTTGTAAGTTGAGGACTACCTATATTACATCCATTCATTATAACTTCATATAAGGTTCAGACACACAAATCAGACTAGAGGTTGCTACAGAGACAGACTGATGTCAACCATTCTTCTTTTGAGTTTCACCACTCTGAAATTGTTGCTCTGTTGATTGCTAAACCTAGCAACAAGAATTTGGGAAGGGGTGTGTGTGTCCCCCTTATAATTCTTTCACATCTTCTCTGTCAAAAAAAGGACCACACCAAAAGACAGCTTTACTTAAAGTATTGGGGAAAAAAATAATACTTACCAGCTCCAAAGATGTCATTGACAGTAATTAATATTTTTTCATTTGATAAGGTTACAATTTTCTCATCTGCTTTTTTTTCATTGCTAACATTAATTAAGGCATCAGTGATGTCTCTGAGAACATTCTAAAGGAAGCAAACAAAATATAGGATGCTATTTTCATCTAAGGATCTCACGCTGTACACTCTACTCCGTAAGCTGTAATTTGTTTAATTCTATATTGAGAGAATTTACGTTATTTTTCCTGTAAGCCAAGTGTAGGCCTTTAGAATGTACTAAGAGAAATTCTTTTGGGAAAAAAAATAAATATAAATTAATCAAGAGCCATGAAGAGTTGCAGGCTAAGAAAAAGCAAGCTAAGAACATAGAAATAGTTCTTGCTTACTGACAACAGCACTAAACAAGGAGATTTATGACCGGTCCTTGTAGTTGCAGCCATCGCAGTGTCCCCATAGTCACATATCACTATTTGGGCACTGGAGACGAAGGTGATAACACATCAAGGAAGACGAAGGTGATAACACATCAAGTGAAACTAATGCTGTCTTTGTGCAATTACTGTACAATGATCAGAACATCCCATGATCCTATGATCACCATTTGCAACCTTCACTACTGGTTTCTGACAAGCAAAGTCAACAGAGAAATCAACAGGACATCACAAATGGCGATCATCATATGACATGCTTAAGACCATACAGGATTTGGTTAATGATGGCAACCACAATTTCCATCATAAGACACTGCAGTCACATGACATTGCACTTTGTGATTGCATTGCCTAGCAACAGAGTTGCATGTCTCAATTACTTTAGCTACGTTTCCCCGAAAGTAAGGCCTACACCAGGAGTAGGCAACCTTGGCTCTTTTATGACTCGTGGACTTCAACTCCCAGAATTCCTGAGCCAGCCATGCTGGCTCAGGAATTCTGGGAGTTGGAGTCCACGAGTCATAAAAGAGCCAAGGTTGCCTACCCCTGGCCTACACCAATAATAAGCCCTAGCTTGATTTTGGGGGGTGGGCCGAATCCCAAATAATAAGCCGAATCCCAATAATAAGCCCAAATAATAAGCCGAATCCCAATAATAAGCCCAAATAATAAGCCGAATCCCAATAATAAGCCCTAGCTTGATTTTGGGGGGTGGGCCCTATCCCAAAAATAAGCCCTAGTTTTAGGGCGCGGCACACACCTAAAAATCAAGCTAGGGTGGGGGTGTGGAGCTGCTCCACCCGCCCCACACCCACTTACCTTGTAGCCAGGCCTTTCCTTGCCGGCCCACTTCTTCTTCTGAGGCCTCTTCTGCAGCCAGGCCTGCATTTCTCAGTCACAGGGCATTCCAGAAGGCCTGTGCAGCCAAGAACTGAGCAATGTATTGAATCCATAGCTCGGTACTCGGTTGCTTAGGCCTTCTGGAAAGGCCTGATTGCAAAATGCAGGCCCGAATGCAGCTGCAGAACTTCGGCCCCAGAAGATGTGTACCAACTGGGTGGGGCTGTCGATGCTGGAGGTGAGGTAAGGCCTACCCCTAAAATAAGACCTGGTGCCTCTTTTGGAGGCAAAAAAAATAAAATAAGACCCGGTCTTATTTTCGGTATGCAAGGACTGCCTGTAGAATCTCTAAACATATGATGGAAGTATAAGCAATACAGAACTCTTTTGGTTCCCACTGTTAAATGTTTACCTTATCATAAGTGACATAATGGTCTTCCACATGTTTTGCCACAAAGTTATTGAACTTTCCATAAAACGTGCGAGCAATCTTCGCAGCGGGAAGTGGAAGATAACGAAGGCATGGTATGAAGTCAGCTGGATTGAAGACGCCCGAGGCTTTTATAAGATCGTGACTCATTTGGATCACACTCAGAAATTCTTCATCACTGTGGCTGTACCTCTTGCCAAAACAGAGGGCACAGACCACATTAGCCACAGTACAGGTTGTCACCGCAACGGGATCAAAGCTCCCTTTTTTGGAGAGGTCTAAAAAGGTCTTCACCAGTTCTGATGCCTCAGCGCAAACATGCTCTTCCAGAAGACAAGAGCAAGTGGAGGACTTGGCTTCAGATTTGGCCAGTGACCTTAATGCCTTGGCAGCAACCTTCTTCTGCAGCTTCCAACTCTCTCCAAACTTCACCGAAAATGATAAGCTCTCGCCATTGGCAAAAAAAGAAAAAGTGTGCATATCGGGTCGGCCAGCAAAACTTTCTCCATCTCTCAGTAGGACGTGTCTGACAGCATCTAAGCCATTAACAACCACAACAGGAACCATTCCAAGCTGTATCTGAAACACATCTCCATATTTCTTCTTCATCTGATTGAAGAAAACATAAGGATGATCTCCAAGCTGGAGAAGATTCCCCAAAATAGGAAGTGACCAAGGTCCTGGTGGGAATGGTTGCTTGTTCTTTGTTGACATTCGTACATAGATGAATATTGACACCACAGTACATAAAGCAACCATCGTCCATGAAAAGGAAACTTGCTCAATTGCAAAACTCATACTCAGAAAGGATCTGCAAAGGAAAATGCCAGGAATTGAATAAGCCATTGCTTAATTCTGGTTTTGCACAACTTATGGGAGCCTGCAAGTAATGTTGAAAACCACAGCTGATGGTTTTATAGCTTACATTAAATCCACAATAAAAAAAACAGTCCAATGTGGCAACTCAACATTTGACATTAGAGGGCAAGCAAGGTTAACTCCTTGCAAAACAAAATTTTGACCAGGATAGGCAAACAGGGTAGAAGGACATTAACATCAAGAAGAATTAATCAAAGAAGGTGTCTAGCTAAACATTACAAAGTTTCAGTAATAGCAAAAAGAGAACATACAGCAACTATTTGAAGGGAAACACAGAGTAATTTTATTTTATTTTATTTTTGCAACTAAAACACAACTTGCAATTGGATTTCAATTTAATCTGCATTTTCAAGGTGTCTTGAAGACTATGAAGATGTGCATATATGACATTACGAGAACTAACTGCTTGCTCAAGTGGCGTACTTTGAATTTATCCAAGCTTTACAATTTTAAATGTTTGTGCCTCTAAAACTAGAACTGTTTATTGGCATCATTCCTTTCCTCTGATACAAAATTCCTGAAAGATATTTTTAGCTTTTTTTCTGGGAAAAGAATCAGGAGTGGTTTTCAGACAGAAGAATTCTGGACAATGTCCTGCTTGCAAAATACTTCACAACATAAACAATCGTTTAAATTTCCATCTCATATGCAAGCAGCAGGAAATCTCCCTTCTAAAAAGAGATGAAAGATGGAACTTGTAGAATTTACATCCACCAAAATGTTTTCCTCTCATGCTAAATATGAAAGAATGGAAATAAAGTTGGCCATTTTTACAAACCGTGCTTATATTAAATTTTGAGGGGGGGCATGTTTGAAAGTGAAACAAATACATCATTTTCAAATGACTTTGCATTAGCTGTGCACTATCAATATTCGCAAGATTAAATTCAAGAGAGAAAAAGATGCATTTTTTAAGCATGACTCAAGCTATTGCCATTCCAAATATTTCTTGACTGCACATCAGAACAAGACATCGAGTTTTGTTTTCCTTTCTTCCAATTTTTTTTTTATTATTGCAAAACCAAGCTTCATTACTTTCATTACTATTATACGCAGGCACAACATATCTCTAAGAACTGAAGAAGTTAAGTTGGATAAGTTTGGTTCCAAACCAAAGAGAGAAAGAAAAATCCGGTTACCATAACTCAACTTCCAATTATCTCTGAGGTCAATATATTTTCCAAAACACGATTTTAAAATGAAACAGTGCTAGGACTTAGAATGCGTGTAGCTGTTCCTCGTTCAGAAGACTTCTTCCAGTTCCAGCCCTTCCACAAGTTCGTAGCTCAATCTTTCTCAGGTAACAAAAAGAAAGCTCTACCTAGTCCTTTTTTCATCCTCCTGATAAAAGGCGAATCAAAGGAAGCCCAACTATCCCTTCTGCCAAAAACTGAACGTTTGAAGCTTGGAAGAAGGGAAGGAGACTGGTGCGCCTGCCATCATCTGGGCAACTTGCAAATCTCGAGGCGTGAAAGAAATCTCCCTCTCCAGCCCCAAGATCTTTCGGTCGGATTTATCGAAAGAAATCCTTCTCCGTCCCCTTTTTGATTGCCTTTCCTACCGACGAGAGGTTCAATCCGGAGTCAAAAGCCTGGCGGGACACCGAGCAGAAGCGCCCAGCCAGGAAAAAAAAAAAAACCCACGCGGGGACCGAAGAGCCCCGAGCCCGCCCTGCCCGAGGACGCCATCCCCACACTCACGCGTCTCAAGACGCAGCGGGTCCGCCACCGGTTGCGATTGCTGCCTGTCTCGGGGTTGCGCGATCGCCCCGCTTCTCTCGCCCCCGCGGCGAGGACCCGTTGTCCCTGCGCGACGCTTCCCGCGTGGGACTCTGCAGGCGGCGGCGCGGAACGACCCACCGGCGTGGCTCTCGGCGCCCCGTCGACTGTCGCTCTGCCGTCCCCCGTCCGTTAGTGCAGGGTTCTGCAACCTTGACAACTTTAAGACTTGTGGACTTCAGCTCCCAGAATTCCTCAGCCAGCAGAGCTGGCTGAGGAATTCTGGGAGCTGAAGTCCACAAGTCTTAAAGTTGTCAAGGTTGCAGAACCCTGCATTAGTGTGATTGCTGACTGGGCCCAGCCGGACTCCGGGAAAAGTCCATCCTTGTGCAACAGTCGAAGAGATGAGGCTGGGATTGGTTGCCGGGATGGATGATGGGATTCCTGAGCGCGTGGAGATGGATTTCTCTCTCCGTGGATGATGGGCTAGGTTTTCTGGTAAGCTTCACGTGGTCTGTATGTAGGTTAGACGGGGAAGTCCAGAAACATCCTGAAATCACATGCTTGTGTGGAGGCAAAAATGCGAAGGCATCAGGCACCGGGAGCCTTCCCCCCCCCCCCTCTATTTTCTGTTTCATTTGAACAGATGAAAAGAATATGATGCTATCTCAGGACATCCTTCTGCACGAAAAAAATAAACGTGATAGCCCAGTTCTTGCCCTTAACTAAGCGAATTCCTGAATTAACCACAGAGTTTAAAACGAAGAAAATCCAGTTGCCTTTTGAATAGCACCTTTGGGACAATCATGACCTGGAGGCCTGAGAATCTCCATAGACAAGAGTTTAAACCAGTTGTCCCTTCACTGCGCAAACACCACATACAAGGGACTGTGCAAACACCACCGTGTGTTGCATCACAGCTGCCATCCTACCCAGCAACACATATAGATGGACAATACAAAACTGAGTCCAGAACAGTGGTTCTCAACCTTTTTAATGCCGCGACCCCAACCGGTCGTAAGTCGAGGACTAAACCGATCGTAAGTCAAGGACCAAACCGGTCGTAAGTCGAGGACCAAACCGGTCGTAAGTCGAGGACTACCCAACCGGTCGTAAGTCGAGGACTTTCCCTGCCCGGGAGCGCTGCGCATGTGTGGTTCCGCCCCCTGCGCCGGCCGAGGCGTAGCTGGCAAGCGGCAGAGACGGAGCAGGCCAACCACCAGCTGGCCCAGCTCAAGGGAGGTAAGGCGCCCACCGGAAAAGGGGGAAAAAATGGCGGACAGCCTTGCTTGGCGACCCCCGTGAAATGGTCGATCGACCCCAAATGGGGTCCCGACCCACAGGTTGAGAACCACTGGTCTAGAATGTTTTGTGACCAAGAAAGCGAAGACTAGTTTCCCAAAAAATTGCTTCCCCCTGTCCAGTGGTGGGATTCAGCTGGTTCGCATCACTTTGGCAGAACCGGTAGCTAATTTCTTGTTGCCCAGGCCCAGAATGGACTTCCGGAAGCGGCATCCACACAAAGAACCGGTTGTTCACATGTTTGAATCCCACCACTGCCCCTGCCCCTCCTTTGTCGATTCTTTGTAGGTTAAAGGTTTTTCTGCTCTCCTGTAATTTCTAGGTCTTTCAAGTGTTGTTTGAAGGCTCCTGCTCTTCCGCTCCTGAGAACCAGGATCAAAAATCTTAGTCTCCCTCTGACTAGCTGTAACCCTGCAGTAACAAAAAAAATCTTTTTTGTTCATTCCACATTAAAGGAAATTAAAATACATTACTTGTGCGCAGACGCATTATATTCACATTTTTTACTTCACACTACATTAATTTGTCAGGCTGGCTGTAAAAGGGGAAAAAAATCCTTGTGTGGGGAGGAACTGAAATATCATCAAAGCATCTTTCCCCTTGAAAGACCTGCTAGTCCAGCTGTGATCTGGGAAGCAGAGTAGCAAGGACTTAGCAAGACAAATGCTAATATACCTGGTTATAACTACATGCTTTTTTTCTAATATATAAATACTGATTTCTATCCTTATAATCTTTGTTGCCCCTAATGTTGATTCATATATATTACAAATTCAAATTGAGGAAGAGGAAGGAGGAGGAGGAGGAGGAGGAGGAGGAGGAGGAGGAGGAGGAGAAGGAGAAGAAGAAGAAGAAGAAGAAGAAGAAGAAGGAGAAGAAGGAGAAGAAGAAGAAGAAGAAGAAGAAGAAGAAGAAGAAGAAGAAGAAGAAGAAGAAGAAGATGATCTTAGACTTATATACCACTTCATAGTGCTTTACAGCCCTCTCTAAGCGTTTTAGAGTCAGCATATTCCCCCACAACAATCTGGGTCCTCATTTTACCGACCTTGGAAAGATGGAAGGCTGAATTAACTTTGAGCCGGTCAGAATCAAACTCCTGGCAGTGAGCATTGATTTAGCCTGCAATACTGCATTCTAACCATTGCACCACCATGGCGCTGTCATATTTCTAAGTCCACCATGCATAATAAAATGACCTTTTATGTTTTTCACATTTCCAGCAGTGATCAGAAATACCTTTATACATCTTAGACAGTTCCTTGGTGTCCTATACCTATGGTGTATCTTTTTAAAAAGCAGATATTTCCTCCAACTCCATTACTTCTATGTTTTATAGCTTATAACAAACTCTTTTTCTGCAACTAGAATATATTTTTACTAAATGGCTGAATCTCTTGGAACAAACAAACTGGCAAGGCAAATGGTGAAAAACAATCGTAAAAACAAAGGCTGGAGATCAATGGATACATTTGATCTCCTGATTCCATTTAACATTTAACAATATATTAAGGACTCTATACTATGAATACTGTATCCTTGCTATTAAATATTAAACTTCAATGTCTCTGGTCAATGAGCATAAAAAAGATTAAAACTGATCTGCTGTTATCTTTTTAAGTGTTTGCATATTATTTGTCAGACTGATTGCCCAAGGCAATTCCTGATTGCTTCAGGAAGAGTTACTGTGGAACAACCAATACAGAAAGATTTTCAAGAGCAAAGGAAGACAAATGGTGTTTGGATTCACAGTTTAATAAAAATTATTATATGATAATATATAATAATGTTATTACAGAAGGCTGCTTTACTCGGAACAGCTTACATCCTGCGACGGTACCTTGGTAAGGCCACACTTGGAATACTGCATCCAATTTTGGTCACCACAATGTAAAAAAGATG